CTTCCTGTTGGGTCTCTTTCTGGGAGGCATCTTTTTCTAGAAATAATCAGGAAGAAGAGGATGGTAAGTCCCCTAGATCTTAAATCAAGAGATATGAAACAAGATATATCTCATCCTGATAGATAAAGTGTTCTACTAAGCGATAAACAGAGAATGGTTACTAATGCAAGTAAACTATCGCTAAGAAGAAATAAGTAGCAACACTTGGAATGAATCTCTATATTGTATTCGGCTCTAGCTAAAATACTCCTATAGTATTTTAAGTTGTATGCTATGTTCTATTAATATCTTGATGTATATAGCTTGGTAAGTTTTAGGCTTGCTGCAACACCATGATCACTCCTAGACACATGTTGATCATGTCTCAAATAAATATAGTTGATTAGGCTATATTGATCCCAAACATGATTACATAACTATCCAGGTTTAACCACAGTGTCCAACATCCAAATACTTTTGTTTTGTTCTACTTATGATATTGTTTCTGGTACTTATGGATACTTGTATACTTTTTATAAAATACTTATATTTTAAAAGTATACTTTTAGTCCAGAGCACTTCGGCCCCTTAGTGTTTATAGATGTACACCATGTAAGGTTCGGTATACTTAGTTAACTATAAACAAGAGCTCTGATACCAATCTGTCACACCCCCAAACCGGAACGGCGGAAATGTTTGGGGGTGGATGACGTTATGTATAGTATCACAACCATTGCATTACAGTAATCAAAGTAAACACAACCATTACATAAATTAAGTAAGATATTTACATCGGTTTGATTCATGTTTATAGACATCAAAAGTATGACAAAAGTAAAAGACGAGGCTCTATACGCTCCCTCTCCTCAAAACTACAGGAGGTACCTGTCTACTGATTTCCTGATAATACAAGCAGTTTTGAAAGAGTATCATCATAAAGCTGGTGAGTTCATAAGCATGTTTTGAGAGGAAAATCGGTTAATGAATCAATAAATGTATTTGTATGCTTCCAAGAAAATCCATTATTTTCTAACATGTGTATTTTGTTACTAAATCTCATTGAACGTGTTGTGCATTGTTTGATTGAATAAGAAACCTCTTTTTACATGAAAAACCCTGATTATCACCAGTATGTATAATAAATTCGGAAAGCTCTGAAAACTATAATATGTATAATAGTTCTATTACTTTATAATAAAACTAATTAAAGTTATTACCATACATACATTAATCGTATATTCTTATTACCAAATTTATGAGTTGTTAAAACCATACTTGACCATTGAATTGCCTGAACGACGTTCTTCAAGCGTCAGAATCGAAATGACTTTGTCACCCAAGCCTGCCGGCCTAACTGTAGCTAACAGTTATGGTGCGGGATTGTCAATCCCGTATAGATCTATACACAAACTCACGTTCTCCCTCCAGGAGATTCTGGTTACAATCTCAGGGATTTTGTTAGTACTTAAGTAAGTACGCGAAGAATGCTTACTCATAAAATGCTATACCAACGATTACATGTAGAATAAAATGAATCCATTGAATTTAACTTGATGTCTATATATCTCATAAACTACACATTATATAGTTTATATGTCTGGTTGCATTGAATCTATGTTTTGTACATTGATATGTTAATTGTTCCATAAACTATACCTATTATAGTTTATATGTTCATTCATGCATTCCATTCATGTTTTACATTGAAAGTTCTGTGATTATGATGGAAACTCCCCTTATGCTCAGCATAGTACAAAAGGGATAAAATATCTATACATTTTATAAAAGTATAGAAACTGTATGATTGTATCAATTGCATCCGTTTTAAGTTTATTGAAATCCTTTTGTATAAGTTTCACAAAATCATTTATGTCTGGCTTGTATCCCCCCCCCCCCCTGAAAAAGTTAAAAACAGTAAAGACATAGGGGCATGAACTCACAGTTAGTCGTGTGCGAACGTCGAATCAACGAACTGGAATGAAGACCCTCGAGTTGTAGCGTGTGGCACTTAACGGAATCCTACTAACAATTAAATACATATATGTATCTAAATTAGTGATTTCGTTAGATAAAGTGTTAGAAAAACATTTGTTTTCGGTTAAGAAATGTTACCGAGACTTGATCGAATCGAGGAAAGTAGGTTTTCAGTCTAATTCACTGCTTAGGAAGTGTGTATGGCCGTAAATGTGGTTTACGGCCGTGAACAGGGTGTACGGCCGTGAACCGGCTCTTGAATAGTGTACGGCCTTTGAAGGGTGTACGGCCGTGAACTGGTGTGCGGTCAATGAAGATTTGCATATTTGAAGGGTGTACGGCCGTACACTCAAGAACAAGGTTGTTGGATTCGATGGAAAACGTGTTCTAGATGTTCCGAAATGACTCCCAACGATGATTTTTGATGATTCTCGGAAGAATGAGGGTGTTTTTGGGGTGTACGGTCGAGATTTTAGAGAGAGAATGAGAGAGTGTCCGGCCAGAAAAGTGTAAATGAGGGGTAGGGCCTCGTATTTATAGGGGGTTTCGAGGTCGGTGGTGGGGTCCACCCGATGCTGGCCGTAAACCAGTGTACGGTCGTACAAGGGTTTACGGCCGTAAACTCAGTCAGGCCAAGAACCGTTTGATTTTTCAAGAAGATTCGGGTTTTTCACGCAATTGTTTGTTCCGACTCGTATATAAATTTAATTATGTAAAACTAGATGATTCTCTAAACCAAGAAGTTTGACGGAAACTTAATAAAATTCAAATTTTATTAACGGAAATTGGTTAAATGAAAACGGAAAAAGTTTCGGGTTGTCACAAGCTCCTTAAAAAGTTTTTCGATAAAGCAAATATCATGGGGAAGCAATATGAGGGCGGATACCCTCAGTAAACTAGCATCGACATGCTTTGCCCGTCTATCCAAGAAGGTTTTGGTAGAAGTATTGAAAGAAAGAAGCATCGACAAGCGCCAGGTAGACACGTTTTTGTTCGAACAACCAAACTGGATGAAAACCTTCTTGGACTACCTCCAACACGGGGTGCTCCTGAACAACTATGAGGAAGTACTCTGATTAAGTTCTTGGCATTTGGGGTTGACCATTCTCCTAGAAAATTTGCATCGTCCACATATTGAAGATGAGCCACGATCGGTTCATTATTTGGAAGGACAATATCTTTGAAAATGCATTGACTTGTAGCTTCTTCCATTGCGATATTTAGTCCCTCATCAGCCAGGATAAATAAGAAGGGAGATAGTGGCCCCCTACCGAATTCCCCTCTCTAGGGAGAATTCTTTGGTTGCTAAACCGTTAACTATTATTGAGGCCCTGGCGGAAGTGAGACAACTCCAAATCCAATTGCGCCTAGGGATGGAAATGGGGCGGGTTTGGGGCGGGGTTGACCATCCCTGTCCCCATCCCCGAGTGTCTAGCCTCGTCCCCATCCCCATCCCCATCCCCATCCCCGGCGGATGTGTGGAATCAAATCCCCTCCCCTTTGTATTTTGGGCTATTCTCCAGCTCATCCCCAATCTATCAACATAATAAACTCAACTTACAAAAAAAAAACCAAGTTTAATAAGCGATCAAAACCAGATGCCATAATCGGATTTTGTTTACATCAATCATAAAGTTTAACAAACATTAAAACGAAAAGTGACGATTTGGTATACAGATCGTCGAACGAAGTGACGATTGACGAACTCTTGGAATTGAGAACATAATTTGATATACCGACTCTATCTTATATATATATATATATATATATATATATATATATATAAGCGGGGGCGGGGAGGGTTGGGGATTGTTATACCCGGCCCTGGCCCCATCCCCGGTTTTAGCATAATGGGGATCCCCGGCCCCGTACCCGGTACCCGTTTTGGCGGGGAATACCCGTCCCCGATTGGGACGGGTCAACCGGGTTCCCCACCGGGTCGGGTGAAATTTTCATCCCTAATTGCGCCATTTTATCCCAAAGTCCATATTTGTCATTATTGAATCCAAGTACTTCCAGTTTACACAATCAAATGCCTTTTCAAAGTCTATTTTGAAGAGGAAGGCCTTGATTTTAGATTTCTTAACCCATGAGATGAATTCACTTACGACCAACGGGCCGTCGAATATGCTACGGTTCTTTATGAAAGTTATTTGGGTTGGGCTAATGACTTTGTCTATCACGACTTTTAACCTTTTGGCTAGCACCTTCGAGATAATCTTATAATGACAATCGATTAATCTAATCGGTCTGAATTCATCCAAAGTGTTTGGATCTGTAATCTTTGGCACTAAAATGATAAACGAGGAGTTACATCCTCCGTCAATCTTTCCAGTTTTCTCGAATTCTTTGATAACTACGAATATATCACCTTTGATTGTATCCCATTGTTTCTTGATGAATGCAAACGTAAATCCATCAGGGCCGCATTTCCACACCGCAGACTTTACTTCTTCGAGGGTAATAGTTGGTTCAAGAATGGATCGGTCATTGATCGATAACTTTTTGAACCTGGTACTAAAGAAGGGCGAGACATGTGTTGGTTAGTTTCCTTGAACTCGTTGTAGAAGTGGTTGTAAACATATGAGTTAATTTTATAATTTGTTTATTGTCCTTAGAGTATAATTATGAATTTTGTAAAATAATTCAAGTAGATTTAAAAAGATAATTTTACAAGACTTCAAAAATTAAAACATCGACAATTTTCATTTTGATGGGATATATAAACAATATTTCATATTAATTTTCTTGTTTAAAATTTTGATGAGTCATAACTTTGATTAATATTAAACTTGTTTATATGATTTTTGTTTGAAGTTTTGGATTCGGCCACCCTAGTCTTAGCATCGGTGTTCCGTCCCCTGGTTGTGACCCCTTAATTAGAGGTCATCCTCTTATTTCATGTTTGCAGACCTGGGTTCGAGTCCTCCTTTTATCTGAATACCTGATCAAGGTTAGTTTTCTTTTATCCGCATGTTGCTAGTTATCAATAAAAATCGACGTCGTTCAAGAAAAATCAAATCATCATAAACCAGAATCGCTTTTAATTTGTATGAAAACATGTAACAAGTAAATGTAACAAATTAATAATACAATATCCAAATGAGAAATATTGAAAACACTATTTTTGGAAAAAAGTTAAGAGAATTAATGAGCAGAAGATGGTAACGTAATGTTCTTCAAGAAATGAGCAAACAGTGTAAGAGCAAGCCTTGGGCGATCCATGGGAACTTCATGACCTGCCCCCTTCACTGTCAAATATGTCATCCCCTTGTATACTTGGCTCCATCCGCCAACCTATAATTACACCACACTTATAAGTATATATTTGCCCCCTCTAGAACAAAAATGAGAGAATAATCTAAGAATGGATAGACAAAATAAAAACACTCATCCGTTATTCACTTATATGTATGTCGTAAAGGAACTGTTTAAAAAAATACAATATAAAGGAGAGTAATGCAAGGAGAGTAATGCAAACACTCATCCGTTATTCACTTATATGTATGATCTTTTGTTCTAGATGTCCAAATCCAAGAAGGGCATCCACATCCACAAGGGTTTTCATCATCAAATATCTTCTTTGTAGATCTTGAGTTGGACATCAAGGATTGAGAGGAAGAATAAGAAGTAGCTATTACAAGAGATCGAAGACAGACGTTGCTCGTTTTTCTCTTCTCCAAACCCTAAATTGATATATAAAGGGCAATTCTAATCTGTTTATTCCATGTCATTAAATATAATGTTATGTCATTTGTCAACTAATTTTATACCTAATGAATTTGGTTACATCTAATGAGAATTAAACAAAAGCGTAACTTCGTTGGGTTTTTTTAACAAAAAAACATGATTGGAGTTTTTTGAACGGTTTCGAAAGTTCGTTGGTCGTAGAAGTCATTTTTCGATATTTAATTACACGTCATAAGCCATGTCATTCGTTGACTTTCATTAGTCGGTTGACCCTAAATGAGAAGTGTAAGTTAGTTGGGCTTTTTTGGACAAAAAGTTAATTCGTTGGGTTTTTCTTGAACAGATAAAATATAATTGAGGTTTTTTGAACGGTTTGAAAACTTGGTTGGGCTTACAAGCCATTTTCCCAGATACATATGCATCAAGATCGTTTTAATCTTGTTAAAGAGAAAAGAAAATGATTGTACTTTTAAATACATTCTCTATTCAAAATAATGTTATAAACTTGTATTATGCATACACCGATATAAGTAAATGCCGTATATATAATATCACTACACCTAAATTATTTTCATTAAAACACATACAAAATATATAAAATGCATGTCTCTTATTATATTATATATATATATATATATATATATATATATATATATATATATATATATATATATATATATATATATATATCATTTGCATTAGAACATGTGCGCTTACCTTTTCCTTGTCATACCAGGCATGCCACTCAATTAGGGTTTCCAGTTTCAAAGCTTTGATGGAGTAACGGGTACCCGTCAATGGCAGAACAGCATCTGTGTCACCGCTGTTTTCATTTTTTCCATTTAATGTTACAAAGAATTAGGTCAAATTTAAAGACTTGTATACAGTTCCTAATTTTAACTGTTGATTTCTTTACTACAATTTTGTTCATTGAAAACAAAAGAGAAGGTAAATTACCTAAATACCCATATCCGAATACCGGCCTTGATGAGTTCCTTGAAAATTGGAAGCATTGTCGTGGGCGAATCCGTCCAACTTCCTCTAACGATGTCACTGTATGTTATTGATCAAAAGAGACCAATTCACAATTAACAATTTCACATTACAAATAAATTATATACTAGATTAATTAATGCATGTGTATGTTCATCATTTATTTGGTTTGAACGTTACCTGCACGTGATCCAAGAATAGGGCAATCGTGTAACATTAGCATGAAGAGCCTTTTGCACATCGGGGCGATTCATGTACACTTTTGTGTACTTTATGAGGCAATTATTGTTCCCTCTAAACATCCATGGCTGAAACCGAAATAAGAAAGCTTAAAATAATTAGTATATGCATGCATGAATTCAGAAATGAGAAGATAATAAATACGTAAACTGTATTGTAAGAAAGAGTATATATATCACCAGAGGTAGCTTGGTGCCCAAATCATCACAAGGATCGTCATAAATGCCATAAAAGTTAATGTCACCGAATTCAGAGTAAGCTCGTAGCAAATATTTGTAGCAATCTCCACTTGGGAACAAGAAAGAGTCGTATGGACACGATTCGTTTAATATTTGATACGTCGTATCTGATATTAACCCGTGGTTCCACCAGAACTCAAATGTACCGATGTTGTCATAGTAATCATCAAGCAATGGGTTTCCCAGCTGATAAAAAAAAGTTAATTAATTTAAATTCTAAAATGGTTCTTTTAATTACTCTTTATAATTAAGCCATGCATGCATGGAGTGATTAGCACGTATCAATTAAAGATGATGATGATTTGCATACCAAGAAACCTTTGAAGTTGATTTCTGGATTCTTGACGCCTTTATTCAATCTGACGATAATTTGAGATAGTTGGGGAACGTAGTGACCTGAAATTAAATACTTATCGAGATCAACGACAGCTATATATGGAATTCCGACTGCTTTCATGTGTAGGGTTAATTAAGTCTTTAATTAGAGATTTAACGATGGATTATGATTGGTTTCTTTTAGTCGACAAGATCGAACAAACCTGCATAACTTTCCCCGGCGATGTAAAATGGCCTATGCTTATATTGAGGAAATCTCAGAAACCAATTAACAAGAAATGCATGGGCATCTTTCGCTGCAACATTTCGAAATTCACAAGAATGTTAATCCAAGAATAATTAATCATAAACCACATCCATTAATATCTCATCAGATTATTCGAAAAATCTAGAAAAAAAAAAATTTAACCTGTTCTCTCATCACCGGTGATTTGATCAAAGGAAGTATTCGTATATGAAAAACCAACTCCAGCAGGTGAATCAATGAAAAGCAAATTGGCCTCTGCATGCATTAATTTAACCACGATAAGTTAATTACACGTATATCGAATGGGAATCAATGAACGTTAGAAAGTACTACACTTGCCTTTGTTCCAAGCATATGGACTTATGGAGAGAGTTTTACCATCGGGGCCCACACGAAAGGGTCCCACTTCCTCAAACGCCCCATAAGCTATGGAGGAGCACCCTGGCCCACCATTCAACCAGAGTACAAGAGGTTTTGACGATGCAGGGCCATTACTGGACGGAACTTCGATCAACCAGTAGAAAAGAGCTCGTCCCTGTTTCTTATCAACGGTAATGTAGCCGGAATACTGGTTAAAGTTGACACCAGGTGGTTGTCCGGGCAACTTGAGAATCTTGTCGTTGTATCTTTGGTAGCGGTGTTGACGGGCGGCAGCAGTGGGTGTAGCGGAGGTGGCTGGCCGGAGAAAGGTGGTGATGAAGGCCAACACTAAGATGATGATGAGGGAAGAAGATGAGTGCTGGCCTTTCATCACTGCTGAAAAGCCTCGAGTTTTGCATGTGTTTGGGATTTGTGAAATTATTATATGTTGATTGAATTACTAGAATTAGAGTATAGTCTAAGAAACAATCCGAGATTGGTTTAATTAAATATAGCCATTTGATTTTTTTTATTTAATAAAAATAATCTTTCCCTATTTTTAAAAAGATGTAAAAAGTCGTATGAATTAAAATTGGAGATGTTAATATTTTTTTATCTCTTTAATTTTGTGTTTTTCATAGTAGTAGTTTTTGTACCAACAATTTTATTGAGAATATATTTGTTAATTAAACAATATACTAATATACCATCTAGTATGAATTTTCTAAATTTTATGTATTATTTATATATAAGTAACTTGTTTGATGATCATATGTGAAAGTTAGAATGATTAAAATACATGACTACATATTGAAGCAGATACCATCTTTCCTTTTCCAAATAATCATTATATGTTATATCTTTTATCGACTGAAAAATGTATTCAGTAAATTTAATAAAATTTAACCCTGTAAAGAAAAATAAAGGTCAAATTCCATACAAATTCATTGCACTTTGGTTTTCTTTTTAGAGATAAAATAAAAATAAAAAAATAAAAAAAAAATCTGATATACAATTAAGAGTTTTGTTCTCAAAAAAATCAATACATGAAACTATGAATTCCATAAAACTATTATATTTTAGAATTTTTTTTTTCGATTTAAACACTAAAACCGTCAAAATTTTATTTAAAAAAAAAACTTCATTGAGCAAAAAAAATCTTATTCGGAATTTTTTTTTAATCTCAGTATTCATGAGGCAAAACAAAATTTTATGAAATTTGTCTAAAAATAATAATAATAATACATTAGAATATTATAGAAAATGGATCTCGAGAAAAAGAAGATGAACACTAGACCCAGCTCAGGATCCCACCTTCTTTGACCATATACTTTTTTAAGTGTGAACAAATAAATATTATATGTAGTAATTAATTAATTTGTAAGCTCAAAATTTTAAACTTGTAGTAATCGTATTATATATATAGTGATAACATTTATTCTTCTTGTATTCATAAATTATATTAGTTAAGTTAAATTTTATATATACTGTTTTGATATTCCAAGACAAAATAGCATAAAACTACTTCGGTTCATCCGGTTTATTGATTACTATTATCCTTTTGTCAATTACTTTTAAATCATGTCTAGTGAAACCTGTTATATTTATTAATATTTACGGTTTTTATCATGCTAATCACTAAAAATTTAACATTCATGCTAATTCATAATGTTTTATTAGCTCATGAATGAAACATTTTATTGGGATCTTGAGATACTATATATTAACACTATGCATGCTTAACTTGTTCGATCCAGATTCAAAGAAAACAAGTAGAGTTCGAGCTCTAAACTTTGAACTCAAATAAATTCATAGAAAGTATAAATTCAGTTACACAAAAACTAGACATGATGTCAAAGAACTTTTGTATTTTCTCAATTACACGATTAAATGCAAGTTTATCAGTTACATTACTATAATACTTTACAAATTATACAAATCCTATCATTTCGTCATATTTTAATCAATGAAATCAAGAATAAGGATAATTTAATAGAGAAAATAATGCGCATTAATTTCAACATTTATTGAGTTTTTATGTTAGCTAATAATTTGATCAGAATTTGATTAAATGATATATACTTAATATGAGCAGGACACAATTACTATATAAACTAATAAATATTTTTGTATGAGTGTATAAACGAGAAGCACAATAAAATTTGATAACGTGTTTATTATCTGGAATGAAGTGTAATCGTTGTAAGAAATGTATTTTCTACTTTTTGTTAAAAGGAATTTTATTTGTTCACACTTCACGCCCTTATTTATTTTTTGGCTACCAACGAATTTATTTGGAAGTCACACGCCCAAAAATATAAGTAGCCCATGTGATCTTAGTCTTAGACCTTAGTTAATTCACCAAACAAATAAAAGTCATGTAAACCACTAAAGACTAAACCCAGTCTCATTATTATATATATATATATATATATATATATATATATATATATATATATATATATATATATATATATTAAAGTTGTGGAAGAAAGGAATAGTAAACTTGGGATACTTTGTCCAGGTTTGGTCCCTTGATTTACATATCCGGTTCCTGTACTTCTTTAATTAATTTATTCATGTCCTTTTGTTTGTGTTCCATTCAACTTCCCATTTTTTGGCAGAATTGGTCCCTGTATTATTGTTGGAAGTTAGAAATACTAAATTTGGATGTTTTTTGGCAACTTTGGTCATTATTCTTTACCCATTTTGACACTTTTGGTCTTTGCAATCAATATTTTTACATTTTTTTGGAACCTTTTAATATTTAAAGTTTGGCCACAAAACTTTACCGGTTTGACAACTTTGATCCCTTTTCTAAAAAGTTGATAATTCCTACCCCTTTAATTCTTTAGCCATTTTCACACTTCTGGTCCTTGCAGTCAAAACTTTTACATTTTTTGTCCGGGGCAAAGCCCGGACTTTTCATCCTTGCACTTTCTATGTCTGTCATATTTATCAATTCGGAAACAACATTGAAAGCTTCTGGCCCCCGCGTAGCGGGGGTAACCTTTCTAGTTCATATAAATTAGGGTGCCCTATAAGTTATAACGGTTTAATTATATTTGAAGTATTAACCATTTTAAGTTTGAATTCCGTGTATGTTATTAATATTTTTGAATATGCATTTGTAAAATGACTTCAAATTCATATAATTCATTTCAAAAAAAAAATGTTTTCATCAATCTTTAAATCAACTTAAATTAAAAAATTAAAAAATAATAATAATAATAATAATATTAATAATAATAAAGAATACCGCATATCATAGTTGAAGAAATATAAGATATATGGAATTTTAGGGTAAATTTTGCTTGAATTTAAAGATAAATAGTGCCATTTGACCCGCCCTAATTATGGGGCTAGACTTTGCACACTACATTAATTAATATTGGAGTAGGTTCTAAAATCTGTTTATCTATTATATAAGATAAGATTAAGAATAATACAAAGGTGCCTAGTTTAAGCTAAAGTAAAGTATAAATATAAGTCAATGTTTAGGGACAAAAATATTTTCAAAGATGCCTTAACTAATCCAGCATGTCTATTTTCAATTTTGAATTCCCATGTTGCATGCAAGGCACGTATATTTCACTAATTTAAGAAAAAAAAACATCATAAATGGTCCCTATAGTTTGCTCCGATTTAAAGTTTATTTCTCATGGTTTAAAATTTTCATAGATGGTGTTTGTGTTTTCAAAACTTTTGACGATTGGTCTTTTTTACTAACTTCGTCAGCTTTTGTCCGTTAACTGAATGGTCTTTTAAACTGATGATTTTTTTTTTTTCTTTTTTTGAAGAAAAAATGAAATTAGGGTCCTACAAAATGAAAAAGCCAAACACTAATTTAACACCTCACCACCTCCATTCCCTTCTTCTTCCCCACACTGTCTTCTTCCCCGATCCTTACCCCGTCTCACCACCGACAACAACCAGGTCGGAAAAAGCATGCCGCCATCAATTATAGAGGCATTCACAATAAAAAAAAAACACAATTAACAGAATGAAATCAAAGAATCGTGAATCAGGATACTTGCAACTACAGTTCTTAACCATTTTACTTACAATGTTTAACCCTGAATGTTCAGCACTTAGAAGATCATATACAAGTTTCTCAAGTCTCTTTGAACTCATTGATGGTTTAATCACATTCCCTTTATATAAATGGAGCTACTTTTGACCAATCTTCCCGATTAATCATCAGATCTTCCCAGAAGCTCATTGTCAGATTTGTCAAGAATTGGATCAGCTTTTGCAAAAGAATGTCATGGTCTCTTTTATTTCTTCTGCAGGTGAAGACGAAATCCTTTCGTCTTCCTCTGCATCTGTCTCTATATTCCCCTCTCTCTTTGGGAATCCAAGAGAAAACAAACCCTAATTCCTTCTCATTTTCTTGAATTTGAGATCGATCGATCCTATTGAAATCCCGTGACGACGGCTGTCGGCTTTATTGTGTGCTTAAATACTTTTCAATGGGATCAATATCCTATTCCCAAATACACTCAAAAGGATTCAGCTTTCTGAATAATCAGAGCAATGGGGTCAAAGACCCACCTAGACCCACATGTAAAAGAAGCTCTTATGAATGAACAGATGAATGGAAGGTGAGCTACAAATTGATTTCTATGTCTAAAATACACATAAACATATCCAGGAAGAATAAAAACTACTCCCACCATCATCACTACACCCAACACCATGTAACCCATTGACCGAAAAATGGGTGATTGACCCCACTGATTGAAACTCAATTTTTTTTATCATATCTAGTGTATGTATGTGTGTGTGTGAGAGAGAGAGAAGAGTCCAAAACCAGAGATGAAGTCTAGAGTTGAGTTACAGAGCAAAATCGGAGAAGCACCTGTTGGTAATCTTTTTGTTTATCCATGTTCATCATTTATGTTATTAGGGATTTTTTCATCCAGATTCAACAATGGCTCCCTGTTCGTATTTAGGGTTTTAAGTTCTAAGTTCTAACCATCAAACGGCTATAAGTGTGGAGAGATATGGATCTAGGTGAAGAAAATGGTGGTGGTAATGGATTGCTTTTTGTTGAGGAAGGTTTGAACTTTGAAGAGTAGAAACCTGTATTCGGTGTTCAAATGTGTGTGTGTGTGAGAGGATGGGACGTTTTCCATATTAAATTTCTTTTTTTTTTAAATAAGAAAAAACATCATAAATAGTCCATGTGGCGGTGAAATGACGAAAATGTCATTCAGTTAACAGACAAAAGCTGACAGAGTTAGTAAAAATGACTATTCGTCAAAAGTTTTAAAAACACAATGACCATTATGAAATTTTTAAACTATGAAATTTTTAAACGATATGGATTAAACTTTAGATCTGGAGAAACCACAGGAACCATTTATGATGTTTTTTCCTAATTTAATTATCACTTTGATTTTTCTAACATG